GTGTACAACTAACTGTTGGGTAAATTCAAGATTTTGCATGATTTACCCAGTGTTGGATCTAAACAAATACCCAAATTTTAACCAACAAAAATTTACCCAATCAGAAATTCACCCAATTTTCCCCATAATATGTAGCATATTAGACACTAGTTGTGCAAGTAAGTTGAATAAAATATTAGGAATAAAAGGACAATAGGGCCGCGGCGGGACTAGTAACGCGGACCTTGTGATTCACAGTCCCATGACATATCCACTCGACCACGACACATCTAGAATAGAACCCTATTGTTGCATAATTGTTGCCCGACTTACGTTTGCCCAGTAACATCTGCCCAACTAATGTTGAACATTTAATTGGGTAAATATACATCTAGTAAATGTTAGGGAAAAAATAACCCAAATGTTGGACAAAAATGGCCCTACTTTAATTTGCCTAATAACATTACTCAATTATGTCATTGGTTACTACATGGTTGGTAGGAAATAACCCAATTATTATGGACGATATTCGCCGAACATCGATTTGCCCAGTTACACCTACCCAACCTATTTTTCACCTTTCATGAGGTAACTGCATTTAGTAAATGGTTGGGAGAAAATAACCCAATTATTGTACAAAATTAGCCGAACTTTGATTTGCCCAGTAACATCTGCCCAAATTTTGGTTAACAGTTTAGAAGAGTCGTGTCACTATTGTATTTTATACTGTTAAGTGTTGTCAGACTTGGGCGCAAGATGTATAAATGAAAATACTACATGCCCTCGAAACAGAAATTGTTGACAGTCATGTGACTAAATTATTGTAAATAATCAAATATATGTAGTCCACTATTAGAATCAATAAAATATTCGGGCATCAAACGTACATACAAAGATCGTAATGATAGGTGTTGGAACTTTGACGGATTAGTCACATTCTTTTTCAATATCTTACTAAGAGACCATGTTAAATAAAGATCAACATCAATCTAAAATAATTTCTCTAAAGTTATTAAGTTTCAAATGATTCGAAGATAGATTATTATGTAGTATAAACTACGCCCAATCTATACATTATCGTAGTTCGACCAATCAATAGGCCCGTTCTAGAGAATAGTTTAGTAGAGCGTTTAGATATGAAAGGAATATTCTTGAATTATGCTTTTTTTTGTAAAGTGAATTCATTATGTATTGATTTGAAAAGTCCTGTAGAGACCCCTACTCTATTGGTTTTTCAACAATCCCTGCACTAATTTAGATAGATATTTCGAATATAGTCCAGCAAAAAAAGGTTACCTTACCTCATATTTTCGTAAATGTCGATTAGCTATAATTTGTGCCCGCCTGTATTTTGTATATATTATAGTGTTATATAGAGCATCTATTGCACTGTTTCTGTTCTCGTTTATACAATACACATATTCATAAATTGTATGATAATAGATTAGACCACCAACATTCACTTTCGGGATTTTCCTATTTCTGAATCGCATAAAATACATATCCTCGAAGCTACCTGATTCTTCAATTACTAACAAAATTCACAAAAACCGGGTTATAAAAAGATTATTTGTGTAATAAATGTTCTCTCTACAATAGGAAGGAGATTATTTAACGAGCACATACCTTATTTGAAGTTGAGTTTATTTATCGAACAAGTTCAAGAGTAATAGGGATTTTTTCACCTCTTCTTCGTTTAAATATATAAAGATGAATCAATATTAACGTTTATTTAAATCATCTATTCTAAACATTTCTGTGCCGTTTCGTTTTTTTCTGTATACAAATTCAAATACCTACAAGAATACAATTTACAAATATAATACAAATCAAGAATTAAAAACGGCTGAAATGCTCTATTCAGAGCCATTATTAAAGAGGCTCTGTTCTTCCTAGATATACATTGATAATTTAATAAGTATCTACTCAGTTAAATGGTTAATACAAAAATGTATATCAATATCAACTGATTAGTAAAAAATTCTTGTAAAATGTTGCCAATTAAGTTGGAATATTTATTCATTTATATTATTTTAAATAAATCATATTATCAGAATCGACTCATGAAAAGATGGAAAAACAAGCATTCACACGTCCTGGGCAACAGTGTAGTAAAGACCCATATCAGGGTATACATTATCGCAGTATCTACATTACTCAATATTCTAGAAGGGGTATACATATTTTTTGTTTTCAACTAGATGTTTGAGAATGAAGGAGACAAATTCATCAATTACGTGATAATAGATTAGACCACTAACATTCAGTTTTTAAATATTTTAAATTTCAGAGTTGCATAAAACACATAGGCCTACCCTTGAAACAAAACACTTTGGCGGTCGTTAGGCTAAATCAGTCTAAATATTCAAAAATAAATAGTCCACTATTAGAATCATTGACATATTCAGATGTCAAACTTGCATTTAAACATGGAATTATAGAGATTGGGATTGGCGAGTTAGCTACAGACTTTTGTAATCACTAACATTATTCATAAATACTGTGTTATATTAAGGTTATCATTAATGTAAATATTTTCTCTCTACAATAGGGAGGAGATTATTTGCTAAGCCCATCTTATGTTTTAAGTTGGGTTTATTCATCAATCAAGTTCAGGAGTCATTTCGCTTACTTTGTCATGTCTTATTGTTTTTAAGATATCATAATTAATCAAGATTAACATGTATTTAAATAATTTACTTTAAAAGGCACGTGACTTTTATAATCAAGTCACTTAACTCTCAGTTACATTCACGGTGTCAATATAGAGTTTATTGTATAGTTGGAACATTTTGTTTTTGCCCTTTTTTCCTGAATTAGTTGTGAAAATATGGTTTATTCTCGATATATATTATCATTATCTTCTCAAAAATGTATTGATCACTCTCTAAGACTTTTCACGTTGAGCATTACAGTACTGATAGAATATAAACTTTATCTATCAAGATTAAAACATGTTTTCACAGTCAACTCAGGAAAAATAGATGTTGTTTATAAGTGGCACGATAATATATTGAATTTGAATAAGAAGGAAGTCCTTTCATTTATTGACCATTAAAAACAACAGAATATACAAAAGATCAATACTGTATTGATCTTTTGTATATTCTGTTGTAACAATAGAAGAATGATATCAAATAACAACAACATACAAAAGTAATTATGGCCAGGGTCCCTGAGAAGCAAAACCGCTTGTAATCGGGACCCTATATACAAGTACATTATAATATAAATATAAATTTAAATTTAAATGCACACGCACGCATAATAAGCACACACACTCACACACACACGCACACACACATACACACACAAACACGACAGAATGGAGCAAAGATATACGAGGAAGGAAACATACAAGATAAAGAGCTACGAAGAGAGATCGAGATTATTTAAAGAACTGATTAATAACTTTAGACGATTAGACCACTACAGATTATTTTCGGGATTTTCTGATTTCAATATCGCATTATATTAAAGATAAAGACCAGTTAAGGTCATGCGATTGCATTGTGAAAGAAACGTTGTGGAATCGATCAGAAAAGGTTGATCATCTAGCATACAAGTATTGGTGTGTACTGCAAGGTTCTGATGGAATCATCAAACTGATAAGAAATTTGGCCCAGTCTTCGTAAAGTTACAAGCACTGTACACAGAAAGATGTATATGGGACTACGCACACGTGCGTGACACGTGCGTTTATCTCTCACACACCAATAGATAAACTAATTTACCAAATATATCAATTAGTAGGCGGTTTCCCGGCAAAATTGTTATCATTATGTATTAGTCAAAAAATACTCTTTCACATGATTGTTAATAAGAGTTTCCATTTCATTTTTTGAAATTGGGGCGTTTCCAATACTGGTATTTACCTTTAAAGTGATTCATATCGATTTGTTATGCATAGGTATAATAGAATATTGCTATGGTAAACATACTCTGTTTTCAATTATCTTAAAACAATCGCAAGGCCACTATTTCAACAAAAAGTATACACGTTATTCAGATATTCATATTGCACATATTGGAAATGATAGGGATTGGAATTGGCAAATCAATTACACACTTGCCAATCGCCAACAAATGTTTTCTCACAGACCATGTTAAATATAGATTAACATTAATCAAAAATATGTATTCTTTACAGGGTGAATGAATTCTTCGCATACCTAATTTGCATATAGATATACTCAGTAATAGTTTAAATATGAAGTTATAAAGTTTAAAAGATTGTTGTGTTGTTTGGACTCTGTACAATATATACGATATCGTGGTGCCGTCAATTATTAGGCCTATTCTAGAAAAGCTTCAGCAGAGCATTAAGATATTTATGGAATATTTAATGACTTCCGATTGATAAATTAAAACAAATTGTTACCAATAACTAACGCTTCACATAATATTTTGTCCGTATAACAGGTCGTCGATGACTTTGCTGAGGTGAGTATTTTTTCTATTTTAAAGGTACCAAGATTATGATGATTATAATGTGTTATACTGTATATAAATGATTTCATACACAATAGACACGGGTGGCAGTATCGTTAATTATTCTAAAAGGATTGACCGGAGGCAGTATGTTACGCTGTAGACCATGATAATTAATGTTACTTTAATATTATTTGATGTTTAATTAATGTTTATTAGGTAAAACCGTATTTATTAAGATACAAATAAATGATGTTCATTTCCATGTCCGAGTTTAACGCTCCGAATTGGTTAAAGTCAAACTCAACGGAGCTCCACCGCCGCCAGACACGCTCCTGATGCGTCCCCAGCTAGTCAATTCCAGCTCTTGTTAGATTCTATTAATTCTAGAAGAAAATAGATTAAGAAGAAAAAAGACTAACATGTGACGATAATTGTTTAGCTTCCTTACAGAGATTTGTAATTAAAATTTGAAAAATTTAAATTCTCGATAGAATAATATTCATTCGGTTTGCTGGTATTTTCACCGACACTTGTAATATTATTTAAATGTTTAAAAATAAATCTTATTTTTAATACTCAGGTCACAAATCAAACCACTACAAGCCTCACTCTGCAATCTTTTCCTGTTAGCAACTTGAGCTACTGTTTCAAGAAGGCGCACCGAGTACAACCCGGAGGAAAAGAATTGTCTTTGATTGGCGTCTCCTTTTCCCAACCCGTTGAAACTAAAAATGAAACCCTCGAGATCCTCAAAATCAGCGCGGGAAGAGGAAACGTATATCATGTGCTTCATGAAGTTGCTGAAAACTGCCCAGCGTTGACCAAGCTAGACTTAGCTTTCGACGTAGAGGATTATTCAAATGAGGTGGCACACATGCGCTCGTCAACATGGTCAATTTGCCACAGTCTACGCGTTCTAGAACTTACTTTTGGGCAGCTTACTCTGAAGGACCTTGTATCTGTTATGGATGTGGTCTCTGCCTCGTATCCAAATATCCAACATCTTACTATCAATGTGAAATATCAATACCAGTCTGACGAGGAGAGCATCAACAGTAGTGATAGCTTGCAGCTACATCACCTGGAAGATCTTAAATTTTCTAGTACGGGAATGGATCCGAAAGCAGAAAAAGACCTCAAATTGACAATGCATGAATTATGCCCCCAACTGGCACCTGCAACAACCCAGGATGGCGTTTACTTCTTTCGGCGGATGTACGGCGTGTCAGGTATTATATTTACTATACAGTTTTGGGGACTCGATATTTCACTCAATCTTTGAGGGAAACATCTAATAACTTATAGCGTTGTCCATGCACTCCTGTCCTTTTAGGGGAACTCATATGAATGGAAACTTGATATCTAAACTTTGGTTAGATAACGTTCTCACTCCTAACAATTTTACCATTTACCAGACAAAACAACCGTTTGAAAAGGACATTTCTTTCTAATTTGTCATTTTTTAAAGTGGAGAAGGGACTACTTTAAACATATTATTCTGTATAAACTTTCAGACTACTTGGATCATCTTGGTGGGGAGTTATCTATCCCTGCTCACAATGTAAAGCTTTCCATTCCTCCGGGAGCGTTGGAAGACAGTGAGAAGATCAGCATCGAGGTTTTCACTGACCTACCAAATGGCATAAATCTTCAAGACAACGAAGTTGCAGCGAGCTTCGGGTTTAGATGTTTTCCATCGGGATCAAGTTTCAAGAAGCCTCTTACCCTATCAATACCTCACTGTGCGGTTATTAACGATAATGAATCTGTGGGAATGGTTCTACACTTTGGAAGTAATGATGAAGGTACAATATCTTTTATATGTTTTTTATAATTATTGGTAGTTGTTGTGTTTCCTTCTAATTCTATTCAAGTAAAATAATATCAATTTCTCTGAGAACACTACGTATATGTATTCCTTCTCTTCAAAGCAATAAACGGATGGGGCGCAGCAACACTTTATAATGAAAAAGAATAAAATGAAAGCAAGCTTTTAATGAGAGAAGAAAGACAAGTTATCCCACTTCATCCTTGTAATCATGATTGTAATTTTTCCAGAGTGTGAGTGTTCTTAACAATGTATGCTTTGATATGTTTCTCACACTACAGGAGAGATCAGGCGTATTCCTTTGGATAGCAATAGTTATGTGATACATGCTGACAGAATCGAGCTTCAACTTGATCATTTTTCCTGGGGAATACTAACAATGGTCTATAACTGGCTGTTCCCTGCTACAAAGCGAATGTTATGCACACCTTTCATACCCGAGACCCTTCCGGAGAATCAGGACTGTCCAACTCTGCGTGTGCGTTTCTACGATCAACTTCCTGGTCTTCCTGAGGTAAACTGTCATTTATGTTCGTCGCCACAGTACCAGGAGGTGTAAAAAAAATCGTTATATCTGTGCGCTGTGAAAGAAACGATTTTTACTTGTTTATGCTTATAATTTATTTGTAATGTTTTGTTGGAAACATGAATAAATTTGAAATCTTGATCTTGAAATTCATTAACAATAGCATAATCATTACCATGATGATTATTGTCATCGCCGCTCTCTATTATTGTTATTCATACATAGAACGTTACTGGTCATGTCTTATCATTTCAAGTATTAAGTGCGACGCATTATTTTCATCACTAAATTTTATTTCATAACCAAAACTCCCAAAGAATTGTCCTGGAAATGAATCATAATTGGAACTGAGGAAACCAAATATCGATGATCTCTGCGACACTGCAATTTTATGATGTACATGTACATGTATTGAATGAAGACAGTACACAAAAGACACATTTATTTCAAACTTAAGTCTTATGTCTGATTTCGATTATTAAAAGAAATTCCTGATATTCCTCATGAAATAAAAGCTTTCCCGGAAATCGCAACATATATCCCTATTTGAATTTGATTTTTACTACGAAAAGAAAATCCTTGCAGAAGAAGAATCGTTGAAGTACAAGAAGATTTATCCGGAGGAAGAGCTGATCGTGAAGGAGCGTTCTATTGACATGTCTATTAGCTGCCAGTCAGATGAATCACCAAGTACACAGACCAAGGTAACCTACCAATTAACGATAAGGTAGAACTTTACATTAGTTTAACAATATTTTACATTCTTTTAAGTGTACATATTTTTAGTTTGGACCTATTCATTGGCTTTCCACATAATTTAGATTAGTGATAGAAAAAAGTGAAGATTCAAATCAATAGAATGAAACACACTTTCAAGATTTATATCTATTAGATATCAATAAAACATTACAGCCTATGCTTTTGAGTAACATCATGGTTTGATGTAAGTCAATGTGTTTCCCTAAGCACTATACGCATCCATACATTTTTGGCTAGTAATACATATCATATGAATACGTATTTCAAGTAGGTTTGGGGGCTTTCAGTGGAATCTCTCTACAACAGTACAAATTACTCTCTACAAAACAATGACAACAGCGACACAGACTCAAAAATATTGGCATTTATGCGTGACCTCTTCTTCATCATTCAAAACACGGGCCATCCCCATTTCTCTTTCGATTTGGCAATATATTTAGGTGTATCATTAGAAGTGAGGCATCATTGTTGAGGATAAAAACAAACAGTTCAATGATACTAACGCCAAGTATGATAACAGGACAGATTGTAAAACTCTCAAAAATGAATTGCATACCTCTTTTTAAGTGTATATAATTTATTTATATATTTATATATATATTTATATATATATATATACATATATATATATATATATATATGTTTGTATGTATGTAGTCCGGGACTTGGGTAAATATGATAGGTCTGTGGTATATTCGATATTACTGTTATAACGCATTTCACATTTATTTACAATGGCAGGTTATTACTGCCAAAGAGCTGATGCAGCATGCGAAGCTTTCAGTGTGTATGACCCTTCTCCAGCGAAGTTCATTGGTTACTTTGATTATTACACAGGAACGTGAAATAACAATGACATTCTCGACAGACATCAAAGGTGATTCCCAGTTAATAAAAATATACGTTGTTTGAAAGGGTGTATTGATGTAACCTTTTCATTGCCGAACTTAGTATCTAGTGATGTCTAGTGATGTTAGGATATTGTTCCTAAAGTTTTACTATACAAATCGTACACAGCAGTGAGGGCATTAGTAAAATTACCCACATAAGCTACCTTTGAAACAGTCTAACACGCCCGAGGCGGTAGCCGAGGGTGGTTGGACTGTTTTGTACCGAGTGTGGGTAATTTTACTTATGCCCGAACAAAATGCTGTGTATTATTTGTTATATAAGATTATGTTCTATTTGTTATATGAAATGATGTTTCATAACATGATTTTACTAATGACCGGTCATTATCCAGATTACGCGTTAGGCAAAATAAATGCCTGGTCATGTGTACGCTTTCAACCAATCATTTGATTAGGATCCACGTTATCATCTTATAAAATATATTACTACCGGGATTCATGTGATATTTTTTTTGGTGTTGTTTCGGGGAATCGGCTATGGAAGAGGAATGGTTCGTCTATCTGGTCCTCATTTTCCCAAATAAATAGTTGCTAGTTCCACCATACTTCTGACGTGATATTTGCTCTGGTAGGTACAGCTAATTATATTAAAATGGTTGAAATTATATACTTTGCAACAGTTTAGGGCTAAGCATGTCAAGACCAAACGAATTAGTATGTCTCTTGTTCTTTCTTCGCAACAAAGAAAAGGGGAATAGGGAGATTTAGGATGTTATCTTCTTATTCATAAACTAAATATGTAAGTAGGAAGATATTATTTTTCTTTGCAAATGGGAAAACGATATGTTAGTCATTTTCCCTATTCGATTTCAGAGGCATCTCCTTTGCTTGGAGAGGTTGAACAGATTATTACACCACTGCAATCCCTGTCACTTAGAGAGGTTCCTCCCATATGTCCTCTACCAGGATATAGACATGAAGAATCACCTGGGGCATTGGTCCCATATGTCCCAACTCCAGAAACAGTACAACGTTCAATAGCACAGCAAGAAGAGCTACCGTACCAACATAGACTAGTCGATCTCAACAGGTTAGTAAGCACTTTGATATTGTTTTTGTTCATGTGTAATATGTAATAATAAAGAAATAGGGTCATTTGATAGAGTAATTTATGCCGATGATATGATCCTTTGCAACTGGGAATTAAAGAGATCCAATAATTTGTTCTTTCACACGTTCACAAATAAGGTACACTTGTTCAAAATACAATCAACTGCAGTACTCTGTGTGCTTGTGTGTGTGTTTGTGTGTGTGGAGGTGTCGTGATATAGTAGTCCAATCACTGGAGTGTCAAATGAAGGGTTGAAAGTTGATATCCCAGTACGGCACTAACGTCCTTTGGCGTAACATTCATCAACACTCTCTACCCAGGTGTAATTTGGTACTTGGCGATGGATGGGATAATAATAATGCATGTCCCTCGAAAAAGGGAAATATCTGGACTGACTTAGATACACTGGGTATACAATTTGAAACAAATATTTACTTTCCTTGATCATTCTTATGTTTGAAGAGACCCTGATTGCCTGACAGACAACCAGCTTGTGGACATATCAAGTAAGCTTCCATTAGACAAGTTCAATCCTATAGCCATCAAATTAGGATCCACCATGACGGAAACAGAAAACATCCGATCAACAAGCAACAAAGCAGAGGAAATGTACTTCACTGTGTTAACCCGATGGAAAGAGAGAACGAGAGCGCCAAGGCGACAACTCATAGATGTTCTCAGGAGTGTAAAGCTTTTAGGAATAGTCCAGTCTATGGGTCTTGAGCATGACTCTTCCCAAGAAGATAGTGACTAAACATAGAAATATGTTTTCTTTAAATGAACTAGTTCGGAGATGGCACTTGTACACATGATGCCACTATACCTAAAAATATTGTAATACACGGAGAATTCCCACTTTTGCATTTACAATAATCACTACCCAAGTGATATAGGTGCCCTCTTGAAAAATATACTTTCCCCTGAGTGTGTATCATGCATTGAACTTTCTGTAGATAAAGTAATCATGATTAAGAAATTTTCTGTACATAAATTAATCATGATTACGAAACTTTCATGAACACGTTTCTAGCATTCGTCTCGATGAAATTAAATTGATTTGTACAAATGACCTTTATTTGACCATGTGCAGACATTATTCCGAAGTGGCTCTTTTTTGCATGTAATGTGACAGTAAAGCTAGTGGCAAAGGATAGAGAAAAAGATCGTTAGTGAAACTGTAAGTGGTAACGTCATCATGTCCATTGAAATATGGCAGCCTCAACCTGAAAGTTATTTGCCACTACCCAGGTCTTTCATTATTTTGTGCTGTCTATATGAATGTGTATTATGAAATGGCGAATAATCATAGCAGTTTCAATGATGTGTATGAGAAGTTAGTATTAGTTATCATGATAACAGTGACAATACAATACATATACTGTTCTAAATGCAAAGTGTACAATTTAATTATAGCTATATTTCAGGCAGTACCATTATTTAAAACGTTCATTTAGAATAGAGAGGAATTATAATGTATATATACAAAGATAAAGCATGTGCCTATAGCTCAGTTTATTAAGCTGTTAAATACTCGAACCAGGTGGCTCCTGTACATGACATTTAGAGAATTCAGAAGTCAATTGCTAAATCTCGGTTTTAAATCACTTTTAATTGTTTGAGACCTTTCTACAACAACCGTACCTCAATGCTAAAACTGTTTTGCCTACACATGTAGAGTGCCGTATTTCATTTAGTTTATTGATTGTTAGTATAAGTATTATTATGATTGGTACTTGTAACAGTAGTAGTAGTATAAGAAGTAGTAGCAGTTACAGCAGCAGCAAAAGTAGAAGGAGTAGTCGTAAAAATCAAATGATATGTTTTGTCCGGCCAATTTTATCAAGTTGACATTCAAATTCATTGGCTCGAGATCACAAAGGAGGTTTGTCTACAAGCCTCCTTTTGTTTCGATAAACCTCCTTTTGTTTTTAACAAACCAGGTTTGTAAAAAAAACGCGTCAAAACGCGTCATATGACGTACATAAACCTCGGTTTGTTGACAAACCTCCTTTGTGAATTCGGGCCATTATGTTAAAAGTCAAATGTCACCTTTCGAACTAAATCTGTGTTTTTTTAATCCGAGTATTCAAATATAAGCCTAGGGTCACACTCGGCTTACGACATATAAAAAACAAAAGCTGTGACCATCGACATTCAATTTGTAAGAATTGATAGTGGGCGATCGGTTGCAATATCTACGTCCATACCTACTTACTTTTTTTTAACATAACCCTTTTTTTTCTCTCTAAAGGAAATTTAAGTGGGAAAGAAATATTATGGAAAAGAAAAACAATAATTTGAAATTTATACGCAAACTGGTCGATAAAATAGTACAAACTCTTTTAGTGAATTGTTTAAAATGTGAAGATATAATTTTGTTTATGTGAATATTTTTCAGCTGTAAATGTGTAACTTTATTTGTTACCGTGTACGGAAATGTAAAAGTTCACTTGCAAACTTATTTAGACCTATGTGAAGATTTGTTTTGTTTACTTTGTATACAATGTTAACAATTATGTACAATTTTCTTTATGAGAAAAATGAATAAAAACTTTATTATTTATAATACATTTTGAGCAGTATCCCAAAATAGAAGGCACGTAACAAATAAAACAATAAAATTAATGATTTTTGTGTACACGACACACGGGAGGGTTGTCCGTGACTACGTCACAATCCAATTTGCAAACTTGAAATTACCAAAGCTACAGTGATCTCAATATTTTTGAACATTCATAACTCTCTTTTTATTTGTGACATTTTTGTTTGACATTACAATTAATCTATGTATTATAAGATATGTTACTCTATGATTTGTCAAGTACATGCTATCTGTATTAAATTTGCTCGCTATGAATTCTCTTAGCTGCAAGTCTTTTAAGGTGTTATATTTCGTTCTTGTAACTATTTTCAATATACTTGTACTTGCTTATTTTTTTTACTTTGTAAAGCGCATAGAAAAACTTTGGTTTTATTATGCGCTCAATAAATCTATCTTTCTTATTGTTATTATTACTAATAGCTTACATTCTTCACCTCCTGTGTCTTAGCATGACGAAAACTCGTCGTTTAAAATTGAAACCCCCATTTGACTTTCACCATTTCTACTTGTACTAGAGCTGAGATTGTGATAAGCCCTAAGTAAACACTAGCGCTGTAATCCACCCCCACCGAGACCTTGATGAGGTGATAGCAAGAGAGAGATAAGCATGATACAAGGGGAAAGGAAGGGAGAAGGGAGAAAGAGACACATGCAGGGGTTCGCTGCCAGAGTTAAAATTGTTGTTATATCGCCAATTATGGGTCATTTTGCTTCGTTCGAACTTTCATTTTGGTCTTCATCTAAATTATTAGTGACTTTAGTATGGTGGCCCTGAAGGGATATAGCGAATAGACTAAATCGTGAAAAATATGCGATAAAATTCACGATATCGTCAATTTTATCGCATATTTTTCACGAAGAAATTCACGAAATTGACGATATCGTGAACTTTATCGTGAACTTTTCACGATGAAATTGACGATATCGTGAATTTTATCGTGAAAAGTTCACGATATAAAGTTCACGATATCGTCAATTTTATCGTGTACTCTATCGTGTACTCTATCGTGTACTCTCCTGACGGGCGCTTCGCAAACACTAACCAGCCCTAGCTGGGGGAGACAGAGAGAAGGAAAAAAGGGAAAGGGAAAGAGAAGATAAAAGGAAAGAAAGAAGAAGAAGAAGAAAAGAGGGAAACGGGGGGGGGGGCGAAGGGCTCTTGCCTCCTCCTCACTCTCCCCGCCAAAAAATAAATCAGAGAGAGAGAGAGAAGGGAAAGGGAAAGGGAAAGAGAAGATAAAAGGAAAGAAAGAAGAGGAAGAAGGAAAGAGGGAAACGGGGGAAGGGCGAAAGGCTCTTACCTCCCCCCCCCCCCCCGCCAAAAAAATAAATAAGAGAGAGAGAGAGAGAGAGAGAGAAGGGAAAGGGAAAGAAAGAAGAGGAATAAGAGGGAAACAGGGGAAGGGCGAAGGGCTCTTGCCTCCTCCCCCCCCCCGCCAAAAATAAATAAGAGAGAGAAGGGAAAGGGAAAGAAAATATAAAAGGAAAGAAAGAAGAGGAATAAGAATGAAAGAGGGAAACGGGGGAAGGGCGAAGGGCTCTTGCCTCCTCCCTCCCCACCCCCCGCCAAAAAAATAAATAAGAGATAGAGAGAGAAGGGAAAGGGAAAGGGAAAGAGAAGATAAAAGGAAAGAAAGAAGAGGAAGAAGAAGAAGAAAAGAGGGAAACGGGGGCGAAGGGCTCTTGCATCCCCCCGCCCAAAAAATAAATAAGAGAGAGAGAGAGAGAGAAGGGAAAGGGAAAGAGAATAAAAAAGGAAAGGAAGAAGAATAAGAAGAAAAGAGGGGCTCTTGCCTCCTCCCCCCCCCTCCCGCGCCAACAAATAAATAGGAGAGAGAGAGAGATAGAGAGAAGGGAAAGGGAAAGGGAAAGAAAATATAAAAGGAAAGAAAGAAGAAGAAGACGGAAAGAGGGAAACGGGGGAAGGGCGAAAGGCTCTTACCTCCCCCTCCCCCCTCCCGCCATAAAGGGAAAGAGAAGGGAGAGGGAAAGAAAATATAAAAGGAAAGGAAGAAGAGGAAAAAGAATAAGAAAAGAGGGAAACAGGGGCGAAGGGCTCTTGCCTCCTTTCTTTTCTTTCTTTTCCTTTCTTTCCTATTCTCCCTCTTTTTCGTTTTTCTCTTTCTTTCTTCTCTTTCCCTTTCCTTCTCTCTCTCTCTCTCTCTCTCTATTTATTTTTTGGCGGGGGCGGGGGGACGAGGCAAAAGCCCTTTGCCCCCGTTTCCCTCTTTTCTTCTTCTTCCTCTTCTTTCTTTCCTTTTATCTTCTCTTTCCCTTTCCCTTTCCCTTCTCTCTCTCTCTCTGATTTACTTTTTGGCGGGGGGGGGGGGGGGGCAAGAGTCCTTCGCCCTTCCCCCGTTTTCCTCTTTTCTTCTTCTTCCTCTTCTTTCTTTCCTTTTATCTTCTCTTTCCCTTTCCCTTTCCCTTCTCTCTCTCTCTCTGATTTATTTTTTGGCGGGGAGAGTGAGGAGGAGGCAAGAGCCCTTCGCCCCCCCCCCCCGTTTCCCTCTTTTCTTCTTATTATTCTTTCTTTCCTTTTATCTTCTCTTTCCCTTTCCCTTTTTTCCTTCTCTCTGTCTCCCCCAGCTAGGGCTGGTTTTGTTTACGAAGCGCCCGTCAGGAGAGTACACGATAGAGTACACGATAGAGTACACGATAAAATTGACGATATCGTGAACTTTATATCGTGAACTTTTCACGATAAAATTCACGATATCGTCAATTTCATCGTGAAAAGTTCACGATAAAGTTCACGATATCGTCAATTTCGTGAATTTCTTCGTGAAAAATATGCGATAAAATTGACGATATCGTGAATTTTATCGCATATTTTTCACGATTTAGTCTATTCGCGATGTCCCTTCAGGGCCACCATACTTTAGGACATAAAAATATCTTAAAACAAGTAAAATACTTATTTCCTACTTCTCATTTCCTTTCAGGCAGACCCCAGTGAGAGTTTGTTTACACTAGTATTACGTAAGATGATGTAGAGTCCAGCTGCAATCCAATATCTTAATCTCTCACTCAGAGCCTCAAGGCTCTGTCCAAGTTTTTAACGAGAGAATTGAAAGTGGGGTAGTGAGACCCCATCAGATTCCCATTGGTGCCTGTGTAATAGTAGTAGCTCTCTCAAAGTTGTAACGAGAGAAACGAAACTGGGGTATTGCTACCCCACCAGATTACAAAGTTTTAACGAGAGAAACGAATCTGGGGTAGTGCTACCCCACCAGATTACATTGACTGCTGTGCTATAGTGGTGGGGTATAGTTTTAACGAGAGCTTTTCGTAATGAGTATCACAATGTGGCCTTTGCTAAAAATGATGAATTACGCGGACAAAACAAGAACAACTAAATATAATTTCCCTCTGCTGAACCTATCATTACAGCAGCCACGCCCGTAGATGGCGCTTTGTCACTCGGACTGCACCGATTGATTAACGATACTAAACAGAGAAAAAGCTGTGAACCGATTCGTTTTCCATGCTTTT